ACAGGTATATCAATATTAACGTTGAAAATGAACATATTAGGAGTCTCAGGGATATTAAGGTACTCTTTCTTAAAGATATTTCATTATTTGACCTTGATTGGCATCACATGAAAGAAAAGGGATGCAAAGACATACACTATCTCATTTGGAGGGGTGTTATCGATGCGGTTCCACGGGATTGGAAAAGTAAAATTAAACTTTGTGTCAATAATATCGAAGTAGATACATCACTAAGATATCTTAATATACAGGGGAAACAATGCCATATCTCTAAGATCAGCAGTAAAATGTTCTATTGGCAAATGATAAAAAGCTGTTTATGAAAAACCTACATCACAATCATACTTTGTCAAGGAATTAGATACCAAGGACATTGAGTGGGGAGTTGTTTACAATAGCCTATATCACCACTTCAATTGTGAAAATGAGAGCTTTTCACTGATAAACTCTTGAAAAATTGTCTTTTTTAAATCAAAATTTTTTCGTTTTAGAATCGTTGAATCCCCTTTATGTAGCTTTTGTCTCAACCAGGAAGAGACTATCAAACACCTTTTTACAGAATGTCCCAAAGTTAACAATTTTCATTACACATGTAAATTATGGTTAGAAACGTTTAAAATAACTTTTCCTGATTTAACTCTGTCCAATATTGTCTTGATGATTTAGTTGTAAATTTCCTCTTCCTAATTTTTAAGGTAAACGTTTTCAATTCAAGGATAAGGGGAAAATTAATCTCATTGGACTGAGGATGAATTTAAACTCGACGTCAAGCAAAATATGAAAATTGAATATTAACATAGCTCTGAGGCATGCATGGTTGACTGCGCATCGCAAAAAATTTGCAAATTTACAGCACGCTTTAGAAAATTAGTTTAACTGAAAATGTTGACCGTAATTAATCAATGAAAAAKGGAAGAAGACTCAAAGTCAGACTAAAAACAACCTGGAGGAAGAACAGTTGAAAAGGAAAGAAAAGAATTGGGTTGGAAAAAATGGGAAGAAGCAAGAGCGGTTGCAGTGACCCGAGAGAGGTGGAGAAGCTGGACGGAGGCTGTTGAGACTTACTCAACGTGTGAATGGTCCTTTTGTTTCGCTTTCCTTTGTTCTGTTTTATTTCCGGTGTTAAGAGCAGTGTTTTTGTAAGTACTTTGTTCCGTTACGTGCCTATGCAAATTCGTTCCATTATTCGTCCAGAATTAGTGTTTTTTGTTTAGTGTTGTCATGCCCCCTAGCAGTTTACATGTCAGCTCACTTGTAAGTTRTTATTTATTATTTCTTCATTTATTTTCGGTTTGTAATTTCRTCATCAATATGTTTAAGCTATATTTGTATCGTACAGAAATTTGCCAGCATTAAAATTGTCTGCGTCAAATCGTCTGGCTGCACTCACTCTACATTATAAATTCGATTGAATCAACAACATGCGTGGCTAAACTTTGCTAGATCTTCRACTTCTACATGATGTCTRAAGAAGGGAATTTACCTCGCTGTAAAGCTAGAAATCGCAATAAGGACATGTGGGATTCCTGACCCATCTGTGCAATGAGATCGGCACTGACTTTTAAATTCAACCTTTATGACCTAAACCAATGTCCCAATACATGCTCTTACACAGACGAATGTTTTGGAATAACAAAAGGCCTCGAATATCAAAGAATTACTAAAAAAACTACAGTAAATCCCCGGCAGTTATTACTGTTCTACGATACGATTGGTTAYAGAAGTTCGTAATGTGAGATCGGAGGGCGATCGGGAGACCCGAGGGCAAACTTCTGAATTGAAAATGAAAAATAAAAAACAAAATTATACGCGTTGCCTTTTATGACTCGTGYCCCGGCCTAGGGCCTGGAAAGAACGTGCCAAGAGAAGCGGAAATGGTGAAGCTCAAGATATCGTCCGTCAACTCCAACGAAAGTGAGCCTGTAGAGATTCCAACAGCTCGGACAGTACAAGATCTCAATATTTCTCTAAGGCATATCAGCAAAGACGTTCCCGACCTACCGCACCTAAAGGCCTTACCATTTCCTGTGGTTGAGAGACCAAAGATATCTGTGCTGCTGGGAAAAAACGTTCAACAAGCATTACTTCCAATCGAAGTCAGAAAAGGGACTCGAAGTCAACCAATTGCCATCAAGTCGTCACTACGCTGGAGTATTCTCGGAGGGGAGCAAGACCAAACACGTTCCGTTAACTGTACGTGCGCTTGTGATGAAAGTACACTAACTTAAACCCTTCAAATGTTCTGTAAAATCGAATCGTGTGGTACTGAAAACGCAATGGCCATAACAATGTCCGTTGAGGATCGACAGGCGTTTAGGACAATAGAAGAGAGCATCTCTAAAGTCGATTGCCATTACCAAATGAGTTTACCGTGGCGCGAACCAGACGTACACYTGCCTTTCAACAGATCATTGAYCGAAGTGCGACTAAAGCATCTAAAGAAGACTCGACTAAAGAGAAATGATGACCTAAGCAKGAAGTACAAAGCCGTATTTCAAGAATATGTGGACAAAGGATACGCAAGGAAGCTAAGCCCAAGTGAAGCTGAAGAACGTACCAGCAAAACCTGGTATCTGTCGCATCATCCAGTGCTGAATCCTAACAAACCTGGAAAAGTTGGGGTTGTCTTCGACGCAGCCGCCAAGTACYAAGGAACGTCTCTTAATAACGACAAACTGCTCCAAGAACYWGATTTGACCACTGACCTGATTGGCGTGCTGATCCACTTTCGCGAAGACTTCGCCGTCGGACATAGAAGCTATGTTTCATCAAACAAGGGTTGCACCATCAGATACGGACACCCTTAGATTCCTTTGGTGGACGGACTGCAGGGACCGACCTCCTGACGAATACAAGATGCTAGTACATATATTTGGCGCGAAATCATCGCCCTTTTGCGCCAACAAAACTTTGAAGCAATTAGCTGATGATAACAAAGACGGATACGACGAACAAACAATAAAGGCAGTATATAGGAACTTTTGCGTCGACGATCAGCTAAAGTCAGTAGCAAACATTCAACAAGCAATCCGCCTTGCAAGTCAGCTCATCAACCTACCGAAAGAAGGAGGATACAACTTGACAAAGTTCATGTCCAACAGCCGTGAAGTACTTGCGTCTATACCACCACATCAAAGGGCAAAGCAAAGATTTCAATTTAGACCTTGACAAGTTGGCTCTAGAACGCGCATTGGGCCAACATTGGTATCCCGAAACCGACACTCTCCGATTCAAAGGCGTGTCCTTAGACGATTCACTTGGGTTCCTGAATCCTTTTGTGCTTTTGGCGARAGTAATACTTCAGGAAATGCGGAGGCTTGAATACACTTGGGATGATCAAGTAAAGGAACCTTACGCGACTCGCTGCATAGGCTGGCTTACCTTGCTGGATCAATTGAAGGACATAGCCATCCCAAGATGTTACAAGAGCTCAATGATGACAAGCATAATCAAAAA